ATTTATTTGTTCGTTTGAGTGCATTTACATGTGCTATGACACCCTAACTCGGAGGTCAGGGGACAAACAACTGTGGGAATCTGTTTTCTTCTTCCAGTATGTGAGCCAGGGACTCACAAACTCTGGTCCCAAGGCTTGGTGGCAAGTGTCTTTACCTACTAAGCTATCTTGCTATCCCCTTTGATAATTGGAATTATAGGATAGGGACCTTGGGCAGAATGACAAGCAGATAAGGTAAGACTGGGCGCCACTGGGGTTACTTACACAGGGCTTTTTTGTGAGCCTGGTGGAACATTACGGGTTTGGGGCTGGAAAGGGAGAAAGGTCTCAAGCAAACATTAACTGTGTTGGAGCCTTGGATTCTCAGTTGGAGAAAGAGGCTTCAACCAGATTCTGGGGCCTAAGGGGAGGATCTCCTCTCCTTTCCCACACCCTCCTAATTTTCTTGTGTGTGTGTGTGTGTGTGTGTGTGATGCATGTATTCATAAGTATGTTTTACATGTGTGTGCATGCAGATATGTATGTGTGTGTAGGCCAGAAGTCAATATTGTCTTCCTCTATTTTCCACTGAGTTAGCATGTACGCATGTGTGTTCGTGTGCACATTCAGATGAGAGAATGGAGACACGCTGGGCACACGTGGAGGACAGAAGGCAAGCCTTCCCTTCCACCTGTTTGACAGACCCTGTATGTATATACTCCTTCTTTTATTGGGGGGGGGGGTGATCGAGACAGGGTTTCTCTGTGTAGCCCTGGCTGTCCTGGAACTTGTTCTGCAGACCAGGCTTGCCTCGAACTCACAAAGATCCACCTGCCCCTCCCTCCTGAGTGCTGGGATATAAAGATGGCTGGCATCTGGTTTTTTACATGGGTTCTGGGAATTTGAAATCAGGTCCTCAGGCTAATGGGGCAAGCCCTCTTATTGAGTTAGTCATCTCCCTAGCTAGCTCTTTCTTTCTCTCTTTCTTTCTCTCTCTCTCTCTTTCTTTCTCTCTTTCTTTCTTTCACTTTTTCTTCTTAGAGACAGGTCTCTAATCAACTCCTGGAGCTTATATAGTTGGCCAGTGAGACCCCAAGTATCTTCCTGTTTCTAGCGGCCAGTACTGGGTTTAAAGGCATAGGCACCTACTCCAGTGTAAAACAAGAACAACGCTACATTTACTGTAAAATTACGTATATGTGTATGTGTCTGTGGGTGGGTATGTATATATTCATGTTGGATTTCCTGAAGTTGTAGCTGTGAGATGCCCAGAATGGGTGCTGAGAACTGAACTCAGACCCTCTACCAGCTTAGTACGTGCTCTTCACAGCTGAGCCGTCTCTTCAGACCACATGTCTGGCTTTTTGCCTGGGTTGTAGGCATCAAACTCAAATCCTTGTGCTTATAAAACAAAACAAAACACAAAAGAACAAGAGTCTAAGCAACAGAGCTACCATCACAGACCCTCTTTCTTTCTCTCTCTCTCTCTCTCTCTCTCTCTCTCTCTCTCTCTCTTTCTTTCTTTCTTTTTAACTTTATTTATTCATTTACTTTCCATCCCTACTGCAAATCCCCTTCCATCCTCTTCTACCAGTTCCACCCTTACAAATCCCTCCCCTAAATCCCCTCCTCCTCCTCAGAGAAGGGGACGGTCCCCCTTGGGTACCTACCACCCCACCCTGGCTGTCCTGGAATTCACTGTAGACCAGGCTGGCTTTGAATTCACAGAGAGTCACCTGTCTCTGTCTCCCAAGGGCTGGGACTAAACCCATGGGCCCCCACACCAGACCCCTTTCATTTTAAGGCAACTTCTCACTATGTAGCCTGGGGTAGCTTTACACTTTTATTTTTTTTTTATTTTTTTTTTTTTTATGATTTATTTTATTTATTTTATTACGAGTACACTGTAGCTGTCTTCGGACACACCATAAGAGGGCATCCAATCTCTTTATGGATGGTTGTGAGCCACCATGTGGTTGCTGGGATTTGAACTCAGGACCTCTGGAAGAGCAATCAGTGCTCTTAACCGCTGAGCCATCTCTCCAGCCCAGCTTTACACTTTTAAATGTGTGTATATGAGTTTGTAGACACACGATCACGTGTCACGGCACATGACTGGAGGTGAGAGGGCAATTTGATGGAGGTGACTCTTCCTTCTACCATGTGGGTCCTGGGAATCAAACTTAGGTCATCAGAGCCATCTTGCCAGACAATCAATTTTCGATCCTCCTGCCTCAGTCCCTGGGTAGCTGGAATAACAAGAAGGCCCCCAGTACCCAAAAGACATAGAGATCTTATGTGTTACATGATTAGCGGCTAGCAGACATTTACTAAGCGATGGCTATTCTCAGCATTATACGCTGTGGGAGTCAGCCTGTAGCTGGCCAAGAGGCTATGGGAAGGAGGAAGTGGAAACTCAGACAGAGGGAACTGCCAAGGCAAGTCCCAGGTCACTTGGGTAGAAAGTGGAAAAGCCAGGATTTGAACTCACACACCCCCAGCTGCCGGACTGTTGATATTTGCACTGGCTTTGGTGTCAAATCAGGACAGGCACCATGCAAGTGGGTCAGAGGGCCTGGTTGATAAGGCCTCAAGGCTTTATTAGGTCTCCAGGGGCCCATCACCTATGGTCTCATTTCTGATCCCTGGTGCTCTGCCCAAATCCTTCTGTGGGCTCAAGGGCTCTTCTGGTTGGTCCACTGAGAGGAGGCTTGTGAGTCTGTCCCCAGAGATGGCCATCCCAGGTCACTAAATTGTCACTAAGATCTGGGCTTAATGTGTATGTGTGGGGAGGTCTGGAAGAAGACCAGAGAGGTTCTGTTAGGATCTGGTGGCTTTTTTTTTTTTTTTTGTCTCATTTTGTTTTGTTTCAAGACAGGGTTTCTCTGTGTAGCCCTGGCTGTCCTGGAACTCACTCTGTAGACCAGGTTGGTCTTGAATTCAGAGATCCTCCTGCCTCTGCCTCCTAAGTGCTGGGACTAAAGGCATGAGCCACCACTGCCTGGCAGGATCTTGTAGATTCTTGTTTGTTTGTTTTTATGACCGAATATCATGTATCCCAGGCTATCCTCAAACTAGCCTTATTGCTTAGGATGACCTTGTGTTCCAGCCCTCCTGTCCGTCAGTTACTGTGCTATATCATCTGCTTTTATGTGGGGCTGAAGGTCGAACCTAGGGCTTCAAGTAAGCTAGACAACCATTGTACTCACTGACTGAATTATATCCCTAACTCACTAGGTGTGAGAGTGTTTTCACTTTCTGAGACAGGATCTTATGGGCCAATCCGGCTTCAAACCCTCAAACTCTCAGAAATCCTCTTGCTTCAAACTTCCAGGCCCTAGGATTATAGATGAAAGCCACTAAGCCTAGCTCGTTAAAATATATATATTCTAAAACAGGGATTCTCTAAGTTCAGACTGGCCTAAGAGTTTTCTGTGCTGCTCAGTCTGACATGAACTCATGGTCCTCCTGCCTCAGTCTCCTGAGTGCTGAGACCACAGACACGTTCTACCATGTCCTGCATAGTACTGAATTTGGGGCACAGTCTCCCTGGGTGGTGGTTTGGGGACTTGTCTGGTACGTGTCTCTCAGCTGTGCCTATTCCAGCAAAGGCCTAGCCGAAGATTCAGAGGACCACCTGGTTACCAACTGCTGGGTTGACTTGAGACATATGGCTTTGGGGAGGTTTGGGGGTGTCCCCCAGTGTCCCCTCTCCCCCATTTAATAGTATACTGGAGGTCAGATGGAGAGTAAAATAAAACTCGGGTCCCAAAACTCTGTGGTTGCGCTCACCTGTAATCCCAGTATTTGAGAAGTAGAGGTATGAGGGTCAGAAGTTCAAGGTCACCCTCAACTACATAGAGAGTTTGTGGCCAGTGTGGGCGTATGTGAAACTCTCCTAAAACAACAACAATAAGGGTTTTAGGGTGTAGTTGTATAGGCAGAAAGGTTGCCTTACATGCAGAAAGCTCTGGGTTCGAGTCTTCCTAGGTATAGGCTATAATCCCAACACTTGGAGGTGGAGCCAGGAAGATCAAGTGTTCAAGAGTATCCTCATTTTCAGTTCCTGAGTGTTCAAGACTCTAAAACAGTTTCACTGCAACCAGAGCTTTTCTGAGATCCCGAGATAAAAATAAATAAACAAAAATGCCTGTGCCAGGCCATCGAAGATAGAAACCTGGGGTCCCCGCCTTCTGACCTTGGGCACTCCAGGCAAAAGAGTGACCAGCAGGGCAAACCACCTATGTATCCTCCAAGCGTCCTCTGGGTGACCTTGATGTATTCTGATCTCTCCGGGGAGGGGGTTCTAATCCGCGGCTGGGGGAGTCTCAAGGCCCTGAGGTTGTGAGTCCTCCCCCACGGTAGCACGGGGCGGGCCGTGCGGGCTAATCCCGTATGTAAATGACAGCCAATGGAGGGTGGTGTTGCGCGGGGCTGGGATTAGGGCCGGGGCGAATGGCTGGCAATCTTACTGGGATTACAGAACAAAGAGAGAACCTCCCAGAGCCCGGGCTCGGCTTCGCGCTCGCTCCGCGCCCCGCCCTCCGCCGCAGCCCGCGCCGGGGGTGGGGGCCCCGCGCAGCCCCCGGCCGGCCGCCCGCACCGTGTCCGCCCTCCTTCCCTCCCTCCCTCCACTGATCCTGTCCCCCATTCCCGGATTATTAACTCAGCAACCAGAGGCGACTGGATCTACCGAGTCCTGGCCACCGGGCCCGGGCCGGGGCGCCCGGAGCGCTTGGGGATCCTGCAAGGTAAAAAAGGAGAAAGTTTGACTGGGGGTGGGGGTGGGGGTGGGGGATGGGATGGAGGCTGATGGAGAGGGGGTGCTCTGGAGCTTGCTTTGGTTTGGAACCCTTATTTTGCACCCCCCCCCCCACCTCAGTGTGTTGTGTGCATGGGAGGTCCCTTCCCCTCCCCCTCCAGGTGTCTCAATTCTAAGGCCCGCCTTTTGGGGTGTGTGTGCACGTGATCGGGATTATAATTCGAGTTTGGAGGGGGATGGGTTGGGATGGTCAGCTTCTTCCCTCCGGATACCTGCTGGAATCGGGGAAAGCAGACACCCCTCTCACCCTCGAATTCCCTGGAGGTGGAGAGAGAAGCGCCCCACTGGCCTGGAGCCCAGCAGGCCTGGATACAGTTGGGCGAATGAGGTCAGTGGTGCTGCCCTGCCGGGGGAGGTTGGTGGAAGGGGCGTCGGGAAGAAGCTTTCCTCCCCCCTCCCCCTTTTCCTCTCCTGTCTTCCAACGCTCAAGCTGAGTCCGGACACTGCCCCAGAGCGGTGGTTTCTTTTTTTTTTTGGGGGGGGGTCATCCTGTAAAGGGGCTGGCTTGCATGGTGGGAGCCGGATCTCTGGTTGGTTGGGGGTGAGTCAAAGAGACTTAGGGTGGCAGTTAAAGGGGCACAGAGGGTGCCAAGGAACAAGTTTGAGGGAGCTTCGGCTGTGGGTGGTCTCTGAGTTCTTGAAGAGGAGGGGGAGGGGCCAAAGGGTGCTTAGAGTCTCCCCATCCGGAGTCTCTAGGAGTGATCACGACCGGTGTGACACCGGTCAGGGGCCTGATAGAGCAGCCAGTCAGGGGCTGGGAGGGCGACCTTTTCCTGGCCTCTAAGTCCCAGGGAAACTGGGGGACCATGGCTCTCAGAGTTTGGCTGCTCTATCAGGAGACTAGCGGAGCTCCAGCTTGGCTTCTGGTCTGGAGACCTGGCCTCCCAGGAGTAGACTAGAGGTGGCAGTTCCTGGGTCCCCATCCTGGGGAAGCGAAAGAACTCAGGAGCCGGGCTCAGCGATGGAGTGTGTATATGGAATGTGGGGCGTGAAGGCTGGGCTTCGGCAGCTTTTTAGAGGAGTGGGGATTTACAAGGGGCTTCTCTTACGGCTCAGACTGCAGAGCTGCTCCTGGATGCTCAGTGGTCAGTGTTCCCTGTTCCTCTGTTGGGGCCCTCTAAGACCTCTGGCCTTGGGAGGTGACTTGATCCGTTCATTTATTTTAGCAGCGTCATTCCCAGAGGAAAAGGGCACCGGCATCGATTATTTATTCTATTTGGAGCAAGAGGAAGTGGAAGGAGGCTGGTGGCTGGCAGCTGGGAGTGGCTGGGCAGCGGGGGATCAAAATGGGGTGCCCATACTGTCCCGTGTGTCTCCGTCATAAGTCACCTGCTTAGGGTTCCAGGAGTGTGTGAGATTGACTTTGGCCTCTTTAGAAAATCTACCAGCAGACCTAGAAACAGGCCTAGCATGGAGGTGGGGGTGGGGGTGTCAAAACCCCCTAGCCTGCTGGGCTGTGGAAGGCTTGCACTGTATCTCGTTCTATAGCCAGTGAGGATGACCTAGAAATTGCGAGTTCCGACTCCAAGGGCCCCAGTGGATCCTAGCCGGGGAAACAAGGAAGGATCAGATCTGTGCAGCTTCCCTTGTCTGGTTATTGGCCCTGAGAGTTTGGTCTTGAGGGGCATGCCTAACTTACTTAAGAGCTTTGTTGTCTAGATGCAGGGCAGAAGGAACATTCATTTCCAGGATACCAATTGCCATTTTTGTTATCATTGAAGGCAGGCTCCCAGGAGCCCAAGCCGGCCTCTGACACGCGGCGGTCTACTGCTTGGTACTTGGAAATAGTCCGAAAGGCAGGCATAATAATAGAGGTCTTGGAAGCAGCTGCTTAGCTGCTGCATGTGCAGAGATCGGGGTGTGTGCACGCTCGGGTAATAGCTGGGTTGTTGGAGACCTGGGTTGAGCTTCCCTAGTGGGAAGCCTTGCGGGGGATTCATCACGTCTTGAGTGTGACCTCGGGACCAGAGACAGCATCTCCTGGCCTGCCCCACCTGTGACACCCTGGCAGCGCCCTCGGGATCCTTCAGTCTGCCTGACTTAGGGAGGGCTGTGGAAATGTGTAGAATTACCCTCTTTTCTTTTGAACTTCAAGACCTGGCTAGTTATGCTTGGTCCCAAGAGCCTACCACATCTGCGTTTGCATACCGTCCTGGCTTTCTCCTGACCCTGTCTCGCTTGTCTGTTCGAGTATGTCTTTTGGTCGGACTAGATGTAAGTGGGAATGAAGCTTGCTACTCACTTGTTGAGCGACTACATGTTGGAATGAATGAATGAATGAATGAATGAATGAATACAATCCTCTGTTAACCTGAAACTCAGGGCAATCCTCCTGCCTCAGTTTCCCAAATGCTGGGATTACACCATGGTAATAGTAGTCTTAGTGTTTTTCTGGGACATCTTTCATTCCTGGTTCCCAAGGGACACCCTGTCAATTACCCCAAACTATATATTCCCCTAAACACAAGCCTTTCACTGTTTCCCAGTCTTACTGCTTCTCTCTGTTCAGGAACGTGTGTGTGTGTGTGTGTGTGTGTGTGTGTGGCGAGCAGCCAGTGACACAAGCCAGGTTCTTTGGAACGAGCCAGCTGCCTGGAGCCTGCAGAAACCTTGACAGACACTTGAAAAGCAAGATTTGTGGGGGTTAATTCAGAAGCCCCACAGAACAGAGTGGGATCCTGGCTGAGGGCTCAGACCTCACACCAAGTTGTTTTTTCTTTTCTTTCTTTATTCTTAAACAGGCTCTTATTATGTAGCCCAGGTTGTCCTTGAACTCGTGATCCTCCTGCCTCGGCCCTCCCAAATACTAGACCAGTGCTCTGCCTGAGCTCAGACTCCATAAAGACACTCCCAGATGAAGAGAGGTGGAGACGTGGACCCTTTTGAGAATGGAGTGCTCCCAGTAGAGACCTACAGGGGAGGTGAGCCTGGAGAAGGCCAGATTGCTGGCCTGTAGGAGCGGAATAGCACTGGGAAGTGGAGAGCTCCTGAACAGCAGGCATGTAGTGGTCCGAGAGCTCTAATTGGAGCTGGGGAGATAGGGACAGTGCTTGGCCCCTAATCGTGAGGGTCTAAGTTCAATCCTAGCACCCATGTCAAAAGCCAGGCATGGCGGGTGCATGTATGTCATTCCAGTTCTGGGTATACAGAGACCATCGACCCATGGGGCTTGCTGGCCAGTCCACCCAGCCCATTTGGTGAGTGTCAAGTCCCAGAGAAAGGCCTGGTCTTTAAAAAAAACAAAAAAGAAAAAACAAGACACTTGGGAGTGGTGGTGTTGGCATTGCTTAGGGATGAATTTCTTTGTGTTCGAGGCCAGCCTGGTCCACATAAGGAAATGAGTTCCAGGCCAGCTGGGGTAACATTGAGACCCTGTCTCAAAAACAAAACAAAAAATCTAGAGATGCCTTTAGAGGAACAATCCTTGAGGTTGACCTCTGGCCTCTGTTTGCGCACACACACACACACACACACACACACACACACTAAACCAGTAGTTCTAACACTGTGACACTTTAACACAGTTCTTCATGTTGTGTTGACCCCCAACCATGAAATTATTTTTGTTGCTACTTCATAACTGTAATTTTGCTGCTGTTATGAATCATAATGTCAATATCTGTGTCTTAGACGGCCCCTGTGAAAGGGTAGTTCGACTCTCCCTAAATGGGCTGTGACCCGAAGGTTGAGAAGCACTGCACTAAATACATAAAAGAAGACTAATACTTCTCCGCTCTTCCCTGTGGGCAGCTCTTCATGGCTGCCTTGCCTCCCTTCTGGTTTACTGCGGGTGGACAGGAGCAGCATGGGAAGCTGGGGAGCCCAGGTTCCCCCTTGCAGCTCACCCCTGAGTTGCCCTGTGACCCAAGAGGAAACTTTGCCCTCGAATCTGTCAGCACCTGGCTTGGGTCAGGTTCTGTAAGGACCGAGCTGACATGGTCTGTGATTGGATGCTTAGTCAGTTTCAGACACAGTGTCCCAGGTGATGGTTACGGGCAGGAGGCTCAGGGCGGACTCTGTGGAGATGGTTTAAGGTTTTCTTCAGTGGATGGACTTTATCCTTCTCTGGGTGTGGAGTGACTCATGGAGCGTTCTGCACAGGGAGTGTAGGATTCTCGTTGCAAGGACAGGTCTTCCTGACCCTGAGTGGAGCCTTGTTGCCCTGGAGCTATTTGTGGGTTCACCTGTCTCCTTCAGGACCACCCTGCCTCTGAAGTCCAGATTTAGCTAATAATAAAAATAAGGACGCCTGGTTAAATTTGGACTGAAGAGAAGTCAGGGATGATGCAATTCTACTGAGAACTACTGTTCATTTATAGAGCACCCTGAACTGGAGATCTTGGGGTTTTGGAAATGTTGCTTTGGTTTCCTCAGATGAAGGGATGAGTTGAGAGCCATAGCCAAGCTGTGTGAATACACAGCCTGGGCTGAGTCCAGAGCTTTTTCTTTCTTTTTCCTAGACTCTCCCTAGGTCTACATCTGGAAGCTTCCATACAATCTGATCATGGAAGCTGACTGATTCATTCCGGCTTCTCTTGACTTCTGACTGAATTGCTCTGCCTGGCCTCACACTAACTTTGGCAATAGTCTTCTGGCTCCTTCTCATCCTCTGGCTCTTTCTGTTTTCACCTGGGTCTAGCTTGTTCTCTCTGCCACCTGCCTCTGTAAAACTATCTTGGTAAAACTGCCACACACACACACACACACACACACACACACACACACACACACACAGACACATACACCACAACATCTTTTTTTTCTCTCACTGCTCTTACATAGCTTCTCCTTCCTGTGCTGAGAGTTGGGAGTATTCCATCTCTGACTCATTCTGTCAGATCTTTTTCTTTTCTTTTCTTTTTTTTTTAAAGATTTATTTATTTTACTTACGAGTACACTGTAGCTGTCTTCAGACACACCAGAAGAGGGCATCAAATCTCATTACGGATGGTTGTGAGCCATCATGTGGTTGCTGGGATTTGAACTTAGAACCTCTGGAAGAGCAGTCAGTGCTCTTAACCACTGAGCCATCTCTCCAGCCCCCAGATCTTTTTCTGATTCCTAACTTTGACCGCCTCTCAGTTAGACGTCACTTTCAAACATGGCTGCTTCCTTCTACAAACTAACCTTACCTTCATTGTTAGGGATTAAAGGTGTGGACTAAGGGCGTGTCTATATTTCAGCCAGATCACACTAATTCAGGGCGTGTCTGCATTCCAGCTGGATCATATCTTTGTATATGATCCCTTGCCAGAGCAGCCATGTTTTTGGATTAAAATCACTCTATAGGGTTTTTCTGCTATCCCTACAGCTTTGTCCTGTAGGGGA